CTTTTCGGCTATTAAAATTATGCCAAAGGTTCACTTCTTTGATAATATAAGACTCAAAATGGACACCAGGCGCCACAGCTGACATTAAATGCTGCAGAGGTCAGAGTGACAAGCAGAACAGCCAGAAAGGATCTTTATGTTGGGTGAGGAAAACTACATTTATGTTCAGCCTTATTTACAGATGATAGACACTATCGAGGGCATTGGTTAAAAGTTTTTACTAGGTTTTTCCTTGGCGATGACCATGAAGATATCTAGCAGTTTTTACCCTGTGTGTTTACTGTAGAATCTTGGTGTCAGGGAGATTGGGATAGTCTGCTGCACACAATATTTATAATGTAACTTTGAGTGCTGAGGCTGCTAGGAAGCATTTATTTTCTAACAAATTCTGCACTGTTACTGCTGCATCAGCGGACATTTTAGTAATACCAAAAGTTCATATTGTAAACATTAAATTGCTAATGTGATAACCTTCCTGTAATTGTATGAGTCAAAAATTTCACAGATTTTCAACACATTGTGTAACACACTCTCACAAAGAAATGCTATGCAGACCACCAAAACATTTGATCTGTGATTTCAGCTAAGCTTTAGTTAAATGTAGCTAATAAAACCAAAGCCCTCAATAGTGTTTATCTGTAAGGAAAGCTGAAAATAAATGTACCTTCCCTCACTTAGCATCTACATTCATATTGGCTGTACAAGATGTACAGCTCAGCACAAAAGTCTGAGATAATATTAAAAATGTAGTTTATTTATATTAAATTAAACCTGTAGATAATAGTTTTAGAATTTCTGATAAATAAATAAATAAAAGTTGGGAAAAAATTATATATTCTGTACTGTATCAGATCAAAATAGAAGACATGCATGATGTTGGCCATAGTAACTGGTGGAGTCCATGCAAGGTCATTAAGGTACAAATTTGACAGGCAAAATATATTTTAAAAAATGTATTTAGCGCTCAAATTATGCTGATAATATAATTTGTAATACAAATTAGAAATATAGAACAATTTTCACTAGTTGTCTCAAACATTTGAACCCCGTTGTGTTATGTGTTTTTAGCTGTAGGGAGCGAATGCTTGTTTAACAGGTCCACCATTATTTTTAGGCCTTATTTCCCTGGTGCTATGATTAGGAACCACAATGTTGCATTGTGCTTTTTTTGTGCTGTTTCTAAACCCATTTCAGGGTCACGTTTAATGGAGTAATAGTTTTTTTTTGTCAGTCTTGTACAATAAATATTTCCACAGCCTAATCACTGCGACAAAACCACAAAATAGTTTTATGTTGCTGTCCAAGTAGCTGCTCTTTAGGAGAATATAGGGGTGTGCTTGAGGTTAAAGGTCAAATGCGATCAGGTCAGTCTATGGCTCCGTTGTGTGTCTGTCTGCGCGGGCGAGCTGTGTTTACACTGATATAAATTTACAGTTTGATGTGCCGCAAAGTGTTTTAACCTCAAACAGGTATTGATTAAGGAAGATCAGCCCTGCCGTCCACAGCCAGAGTGTGTGTGTGTGTGTGTGTGTGTATATGTGTATTCTTTGGATTTGAGCGGGAACGTCGGCGAGTCCCAGTGCTAACGTGATTGCGAATGACAAAATGTCCACCCGGGTTTGTTAGGAACATAATGGGGAATCAATAGACACAACAGAGATGTCAATACAACATGCTTTATTGCATTAAACCACCTCTCTCTTCCCCATACGGACACCTAGGCTTACCCTCCACAACACACACACATCTACCGGTTTGCGTCTATTTTTTTTTTTTCTTTTTTGATGTTGCACTTACAGGAAACTGAAATCATTTGAAGTACTGCACTTATTGCACTAAGTATCTCTGAACGCACACACACACATGCATTAAGCCAAACGCACTCACAAGCACACGAGAGTTCCCTGCTGAGAGCCTACCTTTCCGATTGGAGCCATCTCTGTCCCTCCATCCATCTCTCTCTCCCTCTTGAGTATCCATGGAGACATTCATAGGCCATTAAGCAGATGGTAATAAAGGGATGTAGGTAAACACTCTCTCCCCTGCGCCGGCCCTCACCTCTGCGATGGAGACCACCATCAAGACCACTGCCGACTAAATGGACCTCATTCGGACTCCAATACCCCATATCTGACAGGGCCAAGTGGTTTTTTTTCATGCTCTGGTGTGTGTTTGCGTTACCTGGTGTGTAGGTGAGGACGTATGCATAATGATCGCTGGAGGGACAGTGTTGTGTTGGCCGATTTCTGATAGCTCTTAACACACTGAGCGCTATTATGGCCCAAATGTGTGAAATGGGATCCGGTGGTCATATTGTACAGATGGAGCAAGGCATTGAAATCTCTCTCTTTCTCTCGATGGACCTTTATCAGACTCATAAACCAAGTTACATGGTACGGCCATGTTAATACACTCTCGCTGGTCAACTGTGTCCTGTGCCTTTACATTTCCATGCCTCTCTTGTTGGAAAACCAGTTCATACCAGTTTAAAAAAATAAGTTCACATTAAAATTTAAGTTACACTTATGTCCAACCCGTATGACTTTATTTTTTCTTGGAACACAAGAAGAGAAGTTTTGAATAGCGTTCATGCTGTTTTTTCCGTACAATAATAGTGGATGGTGACCAAGAACTGCTTCAAATAGGCCAACAAATGTGCCATTAAAGCTTCGTAGAAGTTTCATGTCTTCCAAAACCACATGGTAGTTTAATGTGAGTTACAGCCTGAATAAAACAAATAATTTAAAAGCCATGGTCCACATTTACTTTCATTGTATGGAAGAAAGCAGCTTGAACATTTTGCTTAAAATAGCACATTTTGTGTTACATTGAAGAAAGTAATAGATTTTGAATCATTATTATTAATAATTTTTTTTTTTATTGGCATTCAATTCCACAAAAAGTAATTGTTGGTTGCTGAGTGGAAGAAAGAATAAATGTGTTCGATGAAGACCAAGGGCTGATGGAGTGTAAAGAGAAGCGTAAAACAATCAGGTACACATTCGTATTGATTTTTAATTTTAACTTGCTTGAATTAATATTCGCTTTTAAACTTTTATCGATTGGTCTGGTCTCACCGTGCAGGTTTCAGAGTGCACGTCTTTCACAAGTATCTACATTCGACCAGCCGCCCGTGATGTGGCCGTTTAAGTAATAACTTGGACTCATAACAAGCAGAGCTTGTTTGATTGAATTTGTCCCCCTCCCCTGCATTTCATATCAGCTCCTGGACTGAGAGTGTCCAGTTTTTGGACGGGTTTTTCACCACCCAGTTTAATTTGATGGACAAGCTGTATGAAAATGAGCCTGTGCATGTATCTGTGTGTGTTTGGACCTCAGGGACGTGCTGTCCTTCCCCATGGCTGTACAGTTGGGTTCGAAGGGAGAAATTTAATATCCCTCCACAATGTATACACAATGTAGGGGGTATTGCAACAATGGTGTGGAATAAGTGGGAGAGAGAGAGGGAGGTAGGCGTGAGCGGCAGCTTTTAATAAATCTGAGTGCTTTTGCGCTTCAATCTTCTCAAAGTAACCGCATCTTTACCCTATACCCCCCTCCTCCAAACACACACAATGCGAACATGTACTCTTTCACACTTTTGACAGTGCATGTGGCCAAATTAATTTATAGAAAGACATTCAAGCCCACATATTCATGGAAAGATCGGCGAGGAGCTCGTTTGAATTTCGAAGTTCTATCAAAAAAACATTTATCAAAAAATCTGTACGTTTTTGCTTAAAACATTTGAAAATTCGATACATGCGAGTGTGTCCAAAGGAATTCTAAGAGCCGGTCCCACACATACACATTGTTAGGTCAAGGTACTTGTTTATATTTTTACAACATGTTCAACATTTAATTTTCTTGTTTTTTTTTGTTGTTGTTGTTGCATGTCCACTTATTCTTTTATTATTTTCTTTTGCGGTCTTTTTTTTTTTTTTTGATCCGGAAATGAAATCAATCTACTGTCTTACAACCATCTTTCTTCTATATTTCTCCCTTTAATTCTTTATTTGTCATTCTACTTTTCTGCTGTTGCATTCTGTATTTACTAAATACAATGTGGAACGGAGGTCTTCCAACTCTTCTAACTTCTTTCAACTCTTCCAATTCTGAACCTATACCATGATATATATATATATATATATATATTCAGGATTATTTGATAAATAGAAAGTTCAAAAGAACAGCATTTGTTTTGAAATAGAAATCTTTTGTGACGTTATAAATGTCTTTGCTCTCACTTTTCATCAATGTTAAGTGGGTACTTGATGAATAAAAGTAATAATTTCTTTAAAAATTAAATCTTACCTCAATCCTTTGAATGGTAGTGTGCATATGCTAACATTTAAAAATGGTGCAGATGGAATCTGCCTACTTCAAAAAGAATTACTAACTCTATTGCAAAATCTAATGCTGTGGACTGTAGGCCAGTGATCGGCTTATGTTTAATGATATAGAAATCAAACAAACCATATATTAACTTCACTTTTTGCCACTTTTTGTGTGCTTTTATTTCAGCAAATATTGATATATGATTCATTTGATCCAAATCATACGTTATTTGGCTTAAAAATGAAAGAATTAAATAATTTGATAGCACTGACAATGGCATATAGAAAGCAATGTTTCCAATCTCCTAATACACTTCTGTGTTTACTCATGATGACACTTCTGATTTGTGTATGTATGAATAATATGTATTTGTTAAGAATAACTAGGTCAGGTGACCCACCCCATCACTTCTGCTCCTCCCTACGTCTATCCATCTTCCCCTGTTCCATATGCAGGATGAATATGGTGAGTATACATGCTGGTCAGCTGCATAATTTTATAAAGAAATCCCGCTCTGATTACCCAAGAGGGTAACCACAGGAACGGTGCAGTTGGTGCGGGGTGTGGTTTACCTGACAGGCCGCCCGGCTAATCCCGCAGATAAGATAAATAGCTAGTGTAGCTCTGACCGTAAGTGGACTTGACCTCCGCCGGCATGGTAGCGGTGCATGTTTTAAGATAATGAGGGAGTTGTGACATGCACTCATGCATGTGTATTGTGTCTATATTTAGAAGGAGATTTGTTATCATTTTCTTTGAGTCGTAACGTACGGGCAACAAAGGAAATCTCCAGTCACATTAGCGTATTCAAAAGAGCCTGCGCGCATTCGTGAACTTGTAGAGCGGCTCTTGAAAAGGAGACTCTTGTCAGGGCGGCTGTGTATTCAACTTTCTCTTTTTAGAGACCTTGAAAGGAATCCGAATGTCTCAACCGGTTCAAATGGCCTCAAAAGGATGCGGCGCGAGTGTGAAAAACGCTCTTTTCTGCGTGTGGCTAAAGAGAGAACCCCGATTGGAGTGTGTTCACCAGTTGTCCATTCAGCCATGCACTCTGACCCCTCACGCCTCCCTTTGTCTGCCCATCAGGGGCAGTGGGGGTTGACAAGTTGACCCTTGACCCTTGCCTCAGCCCTACCCCTCCTCCGCTCCGCTCTCGTGCCCCCTTTCATTCACATGCAGCCACTCATCATCCCCCCCCTTTCCTCTTTTTCATCTTATCCCGTCTTTCTAAAAGCACCGTTTGACTCGCCCGCTGTCTCAAGTTCAAGGCCTCGCGGGCCGCTTGCATTGAGGCGGGAACCTCTGCCTTGTGTCTTAATGCATCATGTGCTTGGACTGCAAACAACAGTATGATGTGCATCAAAAGTGGCTCCAAAATTTGGAGACTTCGCGTATTGTATACACTCTTTATTGGCATCTATGGTTCCATGAAGAAACTGTAAAGGTTCCAAAAAGGGGTTTTTGCAACAGTGCCGTTTAAAAAAAACATTTCTGGTTCCTCAAAGAACCTTTAGTGAACAGTTCTTAAAAGAACCCCTTTTTTAGTGTGAAGAACATTTTAAAAATCTAAAGAATCCACTTTAAAGAACTTCTTGTGGAATGAAAAGGTTCCATGTTAAATGTTCTTTATGGAACCATCAATCCCAATAAAGAATCTTTATTTTTAAGAATATGGAATCTTTCCATTCCATAAAAGGTTCTTTATAGTGGAAAAAGGTTCTTTAGATTATTAAAATATTCCTCAAACTAAAAAAAAAAAAATTTCTTTTAAGAACTATTCATTGAAAGGTTCTTTGAGGAACCCAAAATGGTTAATGTTGTTTGCTCTCTCGTGCCCCCTTTCATTCACATGCAGCCACTCATCATCCCCCCCCTTTCCTCTTTTTCATCTTGTCCCATCTTTCTAAAAGCACCGTTTGACTCGCCCGTTGTCTCAAGTTCAAGGCCTCGCGGGCCGCTTGCATTGCATTCCTCAAAGAACCTTTAGTGAACAGTTCTTAAAAGAACCCCTTTTTTAGTGTGAAGAACATTTTAAAAATCTAAAGAATCCACTTTAAAGAGCTTCTTGTGGAATGAAAAGGTTCCATGTTAAATGTTCTTTATGGAACCATCAATCCCAATAAAGAATCTTTATTTTTAAGAATATGGAATCTTTCCATTCCATAAAAGGTTCTTTATAGTGGAAAAAGGTTCTTTAGATTATTAAAATATTCCTCAAACTAAAAAAAAAAAAATTTCTTTTAAGAACTATTCATTGAAAGGTTCTTTGAGGAACCCAAAATGGTTAATGTTGTTTGCCTTAGAGCTTTGAGATTGCTTCCAAATTTATTTCCAAAATCCAAGTAAATCAGTGGTTGGTTTGAATATGACGACGTGTGTTTATTTTAACTTATAGCTGATGAAAGTTCATAATGATGAACAAAGGCATAATTCTTGTGGTATGTGTGATGTTTTGTGCGTTTTTGATGACGTATCCGAAAAAAAAAATTTATTTTAAGAACTATTCATTGAAAGGTTCTTTGAGGAACCCAAAATGGTTAATGTTGTTTGCCTTAGAGCTTTGAGATTGCTTCCAAATTTATTTCCAAAATCCAAGTAAATCAATGGTTGGTTTGAATATGACGACGTGTGTTTATTTTAACTATAGCTGATGAAAGTTCATAATGATGAACAAAGGCATAATTCTTGTGGTATGTGTGATGTTTTGTGCGTTTTTGATGACGTATCCATTATAAATGTTTGTGTGAAGCTACTGTAGATTTTCTTGACAAATGCATTGATGTGTTTTGAAAGTGTTTGACCTAGGGATGCACCGAAATGAAAATTCTTGGCCGAAGCCGAACAAAATGAAACACTGGGCTGAAGGCCGAATACTGAAAACGGTTTTTCAAATTTTTTCCCCATTTTCCCCATTTTTTTCCCCATAGCATAAATTAAATAGCCAAAATGTGCTTTAAAAATTATTTACTTAACGCTGAACATTTTTTTAAACATTCTAATAGACATTATACCAATAAAACACCATTTAACTTGAAATTAATAAGTTGGTAAAATAATATTTTTTCTTGAATCAGGCATGTATTTTTTTACTGTACAAATAAATGCAGCCTTGCTGAGCAGAAGAGACTTCTTTTAAAACATTAGAAAATATTACAGATCCCAGTCTGAACACTGTGTGAATGCTATAATAAATGTATTAATAGAGCTGTTGTAATTATTATTATCCTTATTATTGTCTTTTTTATTTTATTTTACAGAACAACAGTACAATTACAAAAATTACATTTATTAATGTTGATGGAGTTCTTGCTTTTTCTCAGCTTTTATTTTGGCAGAAATCCATAGGAAGACCTCAGTGCTTCTTTTTATTGACAACAGTAGATTTATAAATAATTCTCATTGCGAATATGGGAAGACGTTTGTTGCACGTATCGCAATGTCACATGCCTTGTAAAAATTCATAAAAATGCTACTGAGCAACTGACGAATAACACTATTTCAGCGCAGATTTTCCTCGCGCTTT